TGTACACCCATTGACTTCCTAGAGCACGTTTGTCGGGGGGTAGATCTTCAATGGTCCATGTTCCATTTTTTTCAAGAGCCTGTATTTCATTTTTCATTAACTGTCTCCAACCTGCATCTTTCATAACCTCCTTAAAAGACTGGGGCTTTTTACCGGAAGTAATAGCTGCAATAAAATTTCGGTAATGCATAGAAAAATTGTCATAATTTATATAATGCGCTATGGGGTAAGGAGTACCTGAGAAAAGCCTTGGAGACGGAGTGTTAGGAGATGAAGACGATGGACTGTTAGCAAGAATAACGTGAGTAATGAAGTCCCTGAGAAGAACACTTGGTATTTTTAACGCATACCCCGACCAAGATGAGCATCATTTGTGTTTGTAGCATGCTGATTTTCTGAAGAAGAAGCATTAAGAGGGGTCTGCCGAGTATGTACAACTATGAAGGATGTGGTGGAGTGGTCCACTACTAGAAACAGGCCGATTTCTGACAGACATGTTTTCCGTCGTAAATTCCCGACGGGTTTTCATTCCGTCGGGAATTTACGACGGATTACCTACGGAATAAAAATCCGTTGAAATTTATGGGCCTTCCGACGGATTATTCCGTCGGAACCGTAATGTTTCGACGGAAATAAAATCCCTCGGAGATTTCCGACGGAATATTCCGTCAAAACAATTATTTTCCGGCGGAAATTAAATACGTCGAAAATTTCCGACGGAATTTTCCGTCGGAATATATATACATAATAATAAAAGGAAAATATATACATAATAATAAAAAAAAACCTAACAAACACTGATAATAAAAAAAAAAAAAAAACAAAAAAAACCTTAATGCGCCTCTCTCCTCCCTCATTTCTTAGTGCGCCTCTTTCTCCTCCCTCATTTCTCTTTCTCTCTCCTCTCTTTCCTCTTCTCTTTCCCCTTCTTTTTCCATCAATGAAAATCACAAAAATTCAATGTTTTTAATTCGATATCCCTCCTCTCATGCTAGTTCAAGCAACTTCGAGCGAAAATCCGAGCAATTCGAGCCTAATCTCAGCAATTCCAGCCAAAATTTGAGCCATCAACAACATGTTCGTTCGTCAGAGGAATTTTATTCGTTTTTGTAGATTTCCGATTTGTATTCTGTTTTTTGTATTATTAACTTGCATAGATCTGGTTTGAATATAATTTTTGTTCAGATTTGTATTCGTTCGTCTGCTCTAATTTGTATAAAATACGATTTTTTTTCAATTTATTTTCGGATCTGTATTTTTTTTCAATACTCTTTGTTTTTTTTTTTAAATTTTGCCGTCTGGGTTAGCTAGAGTGGGGTAGGGTGGTTCTGTGGTGTGGGTTATGGTTAGGTAGGGTGGTGGTGGGTCAGGGTTATTGGTGGGGTGGTGGGTATGTGGTATGGGTTAGTGGTGGGTTGGTGGGTCTACGGTAATTAGTGGGGTGGTGGGTTGGTGAGGGGTGTGCGTGAGGGTGGGGCTGGGTGTGCGTGGTCTGGACAGGAGGGGTGATTTGGGTTGTGGGTGGGGGGTGGGGATCTGGGTAAGTTAGGAGGGGTGGGGCAGGGGCTGGGGGTGGGGTGGTGGTGGTGTCTGGGTAAGTTAGGAGGGTAGGGGCAAGGGTAGGGTGGGATGGGGTGGTGGTGGTGTCTGGGTAAGTTAGGAGGGTAGGGGGCAGGTGGGGTGGGGTGGTGGTGGTGTCTTGGGTAAGTTAGGAGGGTTGAAAGGTGTCAGCAGGTGCGCGGAGCCGGAGCCCGGCATGTTCGCCCGCTGGGGTGGTGGTGGTGTCTGGGTAAGTTAGGAGGGTAGGGGGTAGGGGTGGGGGTGGGGTGGTGGTGGTGTCTGGGTAAGTTAGGAGGGTAGGGGGCAGGGCTGGGGTGGGGTGGTGGTGGTGTCTGGGTAAGTTAGGAGGGTAGGGTGGGGTGGGGTGGGGGGTGGGGTGGGTGGTGGTGGTGTCTGGGTAAGTTAGGAGGGTAGGGGGCAGGGCTGGGGTGGGCTGGTGGTGGTGGGGCTGGGTAGAGGGGTAAAGGGGTAGGGGGTAGGCTGGTGGGTGGGGATCTGGGTTATGGTGGCAGTGGGTGGGCTGGTGGTGGGGTGGGTTTTTTTTTTTTATTAAATTTTCCGACGGAATTTCCGTCGGAATTTTCCGGCGGATTTAAATTCCGTCAGCAATTTTCGACGGACTTTCCGGTACCAAAAAAACCTCTTTCGACGAAAAAATTCCGTCGGAATAGTGTTTTTCGACGGAATTTCCGACGAAAATGGCCGTTTTCCCGACATAGTGATTTCCGACAACGTGTTCCGACGGAATTCCGTCGGAAACAGCTCTTTCCGACGGATTTATAGGGTGTACCGACATAATTTTTCCGTCGTAAATAAGGTGTTTTCTAGTAGTAGTTGGGATCACATGCAGACGTAGACTCAACATTGAGCTGGGCAGCAGGATCACCGTCACCCACGACCTGGCCTGCGGGCTGGTCAGTGGCTGCTTGGTCTCTGGCCAGCGCACTGCCAGCGGGCGTAGAGGATGTGTGTTGTTGCGTGGCAGCTTCATTCAAGTCTTGAATAGCCACGTTTGTTGCATCATTGTCATCCATATGAGTATCCACAACAACCTCAGAAAAATCATAGTCCACGGGAACATTCATCGGCACAATTTTTCTCCGGAACAATAGTTGATGAATCCGGATCAAGAAAAGGAAAAACATCTTTAAAGAACTTAACATCTTGTGAAACAAAAAATTCTTTCGAATCAAGATCAAAGAGATTCCACCCTTTCTTCCCAAATGGTAACCCACAAAAATACATTTACGACTCCGACTGGCAAACTTATCTCCCTTATCTTTTTTATTGTGTGCAAAGCAAAGACACCCAAAAGTACAAATGGTATTGTATCAAGGAGTAGTGCCAAATAAAATTTCGTAAGGGGTTTTATCATGCAACAAAGGAGATGGAGTACGATTAATGAGATGAGCTTACTAGAACACTATCCTCCCAAAAATAAATTGGCAAATTAGCCTGAAATCGCAATGCTCTCCCTACATTTAGTATGTGTTTATGTTTCTGGTCAACTCGACGATTTTGTTGTGGGGTGCCCACACATGAGGTTTGAAATAATATGCCCGTAGAGTTAAAGAAATCTCGCAAACAATTAAATTCAGTGCCGTTATCACTTTGGACTATTTTAATTGTTTTAGAAAATTGTCTATCCACTATTGCCACAAATGACATAAACATACGAAATACCTTAGTTTTAACAGCAAGAAAATAAATCCAAACAACACGAGAGAAATCATCTATGATAGTAAAAAAATAATGGGCACCACAAGACGAAGCATGCCTATATGAGCCCTACAAATCACAATGTATGTTTTCAAAAATTCTAGAGGCCTTATTCTCACCCAAATTAAATCTATCTCTAGGGTTTTTTAGCACGAAAACAAATTTCGCATGCTTTATTCAAACTTCCCTTACAATTATGAACGGGGGGGAGGAGTTTCACAACTTTTTCTGAAGGATGACCCATTCGCTTGTGCCATAACTCTAGCGTAGATGAAGTCCCGGTCACAGCCACATGTTTCACCGAAGAAGTCCCTTCAAAGTAGAACAGTCCATCCCGCCTAACACTCGTTCCAATCAGCTCCCTCGATTGGTCCTGTATAGCACATATATTAGAGTTAAATTGGACAGCGGTAATTTGTATCATCAATCAATTGGGATACCGAAATTAAATTGCAACATAAAGCTGGAACAAATAGCACATGTGTAAGAACGATTTTTGGGGATAGACGAACTGATCCTTCCTTAGTGGCCAAAATGGACTTGCCATCCGGAAGCCCAACCAAACAATTGATCGTTTGATTGTCAAACAACCATTTATCATCACATGTAACATGTCTAGAGGCCCTGTATTAACAATCCCATAATGCATTATCAGACTCACCATTCAAGTGATCATCAGGTATTTTAGTATTACCTACGAATCTGGCAATTGCTTTCCATTGTTCGGCTGTGAAGGTTTGAGAAGATGCACTTGTTGACGAAGCATTCTTAGAATCGGCAGTAGACCCAGTTGTCATAGCATTAACACGAGCTGGAGCGCGCCCCTTTGCCCCTGATTGAGGAGCCTTACCACGAACCTTTGACTGATTTTGCCACCAATGTGGATAGCCTTTTAATTCAAAACAATCAGAGACTAAATGTCCCGTCTTCTTACAATGCGTGCAATGGAGACTAGATTTGTCAGGTTTGTCATCCGATTCAAGCAAGATTAGTTGCCTTGGCCTGTGCTAGTTCAGAGAGCAAACCCTACTGTCTCAGGTTGCTTACCTTCGAGGATTTGTTTGGCAAGCCTAACTCGCTCATCTTGCACAACCAATTGATAGGCACGATCAAGAGTTGGCAAAGGGTCTTGAGGGGAAAGAATGTTGGTATGAGTTTTGGCATAATAATATGTGTACAGCCCCATGAGAAATTCAGGAAGACGAGTGTTCTCACGACGCTTCTCATGCTCTTGTACACCGATTGCAATAAGAGCAAGCGATTAAAGGTTCGTGATTATTTAATTCTTCCCACAACGCAGTCAGCTTCCCAAAGTATGCAGCCACGGTCATGTTCTTAGACTATTCACACTTTGCAATAGAGGACTTCACTTGCTGAATGCATGGACCGTTCACAGTAGCAAAGCACATCTTGAGAGTATCCCACAATCGTTTTGCATCTTTATACTTCGATAGGGTACACTTGACCTCAGGGTCTATGGTGTTCATTAGCCATGAGATTAACATAGCATGAATGGTGTTCCAATCCGTTTGAGTACACGGAGAGGAAGGAGAAGTGATTGTTCCATCAAGAAAGACAAACTTTCTACGTGCCTCCAACGCAGTTTGAATGTCACCGGCCCATTCATCATAATTTTTGCCACGAAGACGGGTCGGAGTAATGAAATTTCTACGACGGTCGTGAGGACCAAGGTAATATGGAGAGGTAATATCAATGCGTGGGGGAGGTGGTGGCGGTATATCATCACCTGCCATGGTTATATTTCTACAGGTCGAGTTATACATCACTAGTTTTACTCTATTGTTTGCTATAGGTCAGGTTCAGATCATTGCCGGTACAAGTTGGTTTCTTGGGTCAAATTAATATTTGACAACTGTGGCCTGATGAGGTTTATCACGTGTAATTGTGTGAAATCAAGAGCTTTTATGTTATTTGGGTTTTTTTTTTTTTGTTTTTTTTTTTGAAGGAATGTTATTTTGGTATAGTGGTCCTAAAAGGGATCAAATCAAAGAAATAAAACCCATTATGCAAATAATAAATAAAGAAATATAATTGAATCTCCTTTTAAGGAAAAAAGAAATAAAAACGGAAAGAGATAAAATCATTAAATAGAATCTCCTTCAAAAAAAAGATAAAATCATTAAATAAAAATTCAACCACACACAACTAAGCATGATCCACCTACAATTTGTAACATTTTCACATGGGCAACCTTGTCACAAAACAAAAATAAATAAAATTATTAAACTCCAAGTATAAAAAGCCGCCTAAACTTTAACGGTCATTTCTTTAAACACGCCTCCAAAAAATGGGAGGAGAGCCTCAAGGCCTCCCTACTCCCACCACCACACCAAGGCTAAAGAGGGAGAATTACCGACAGACAAAACACGATACCGCCTTCTCGAAATGGAAAATCCTAATCGGCCCATCAGACTGGGTTAACTATGAGGCCAAAAAAGAAGGGGCGGAAAGATACAGAGTTGCTAACCTCCCATCAGTTTGTAATCCTGGATTGTATGAAATTGGAGTTGCGGTTTGTCACTCTGATTCGGGCCGTGATGTTTCAAAACTCGATACCGAGTTTATTGTTGTGGTGTACTTGGGACAAGCTGATAATGTGAGGTCTAGGCTTCAGGATTATGGCAGGAATGGATCTCATTTGATTAATGGTTGTGGGTTGTTTAAGGAGATCTTTTCTCGAGGCTATCCTATTGTTTATCGATGGGCTCCTGTAAGTATTTGTACAAAATTTAATTATTTAATTTGTTGTTTCTTGAATTTTTTTTTTGGTAAGTTTTTATTTTAATTGGGGTTTTGGGTATCAAATTATTGTTCAATGTATCAAGAATCTACAATTTTAATTCTTGGGCTTAGCCAGAATTTCCCTCTGTTTATTGATTTTCCTTAATTTTTTTTTTTTTGTATGAATTTGTTAGGAGCAAAGGTCAAGAAGATTTATTATAGATCATGAATTTTGTTTTGCTTTGTTTTTTTTTTTATATTTTTTTTTATTAAATTGATCCTGTTCCTTCGCTTATACTTACCTCCGTTTTTTGTAGTTGACACGTATTCTTTTTAGGAAGTTTTTTTTAGTTGACATATTTCCCATTTGGGTAAGTTTTACACTTTACATTTACTAGCTACCCCACTTGTTTTATCATTCTCTCATTCTCTCTTTCCTCTCTTTAATACGGTTGTCTAAATTAAACGTATCAACTAAATAGAAACGAAGGGAGTACAGTGGAGATAAATGAGTTTATTCTGGCGATGACATACCTGTGCGGCTGTGCATAAGCAGCTTATTAGTTTTTCTCTGCCTCACCCCGCCCTGCCAAACCAAACACTACTAATATAGACTCAACAGATTCTGATCAAATCCTCATAAGAATTTGAGCAGATTGAAAAAAAAGATAAAAGCCCAATTCAATTTATTTTATTATAGGGTTTTTCGATTTTGTCAAATGTTTGTCAAATGATGAGGATTTTAGATTTCAATTTTTGCCTAGGTTGCTTCTTAAATAATTTGTAGCAAATTCATGCAAAAGTGGAGAATAATTTGTAGCAAATGGGGATTTTATTTTTCTCTACCAAGTGGAATTTGTAATATGATGATCACAAATTCTTATATGTGGCTGACGAGGCTGTGTGGCCAACCATTATGGGGTTACTCGGTCAGTATTGGACGGTTACTCGGTCAGTGTTATAAGAGTTAGTCGGTCAGTATTATAGGGGTTACTTGGTTAATATTATAGAAGTTACGCACTGATATTGTTAAATTTGTGGCCATTAATATCATGAGACGAAAACTTTAAATATTAAAATTGTGGTAGATTGAATGATGAATCTGAATATAACTATACGTTCACCTTAAAAAAATAAGTTTAAAGGCTAATAAGGTTAAGTCAACGAAAGGTGGAATCAAATAAACTTAAGGTAAAATAAGTGTTCAATTTATATAAGTTTAGGTCAAAAGAGCGCAACTGTATACGTGCAGAGGCAAACTTATGCCAAAAAAGAGTAGTAGATTAATTAGTATGTTATTCAAAATTCAATCTATAGATTGAATTGATCGGAAATGCTGAATTTTAAGGTTGAGTAATGTCGGATCATAGGTTGTACATTCCCTAGATTTAATAGTTCAAGGTTCAAGCAATACTGAAAGCAGTTCTGATGCATCAACCTTTGTCTTTCAGAATTTCTACATCACCAGTTCATGGTTGTAGCTCGAATATACATAGTACAATAGGTGTAAATGAGGTTTTTCATAAAGAATACCAATATTTCTAGACGGTTTTGAATCACGGAGTTAATTGCCCTTTATTGTGGGACTTCAGAAAATTAGTATAAACATTCATTCGACAAAAACAAGATTTTGCACTGGTCATGATGCAAAATTTCAAGCTCATACCCACATTTCTTTACCATCTCAAAAGGAACGCTAGTTGAATTGTGTAGCAAAGTAATATATGACCTTCATACTAACAAGTGCCTCTTGCACATCTGTTGGGCAGAGGACGATTCTGATTATATTGATGAAAAAAAACTGATAGAACTGTGTGCTGCTACTGCTGCTGTTTGACTCTTTTGAGTGCGAAGTACAAGTATTGGAGGATCAAAAGTGATAGACTGCTGTTTAAATCTGGTGGTAGAATGAATCTGAATACTTCAAGATGATCAGAATTACATTTGCCAAAGACAGTAACAAGGGCAATTAATTCTTAGGTAGCAATTATTATCTGTAATAGTTCAAGCAATAACATAAGGAGTTCAGACGTCTACAAAGTTCCCTACTTTGCTAGCTTATTGGTAGAATGCTTGGTAGGTAATACATTGGTATGAACGAGTATTTTCATAATGATAAGTGATCACCAACAAATTAAGATCTTTGGGGACTTGAGAAAGAAAAATGGTAAAGAACCATCATTTAACAGGAACATAGGTATTTGTGCACCCATCTTGATGCATGATTCAATGTTTTAAGCTTAATCACAAATTTAATCCTTCCTAAAGGAAGACCGCAATATTTTCTTAGCAAAAGTAAACTTGTTAGAAGGGTACAGCCGTACAGCATGGACATAATTGCTGCTGCAACCCCTCCTAGCTAGCTGGTTGCTGCTACCACAACTGCTGCAGAGGTTTATCTCCCCCAAATTTAACGTATAGTTTTGGTGTGTTTAGTTTCAGTCTAAAATTGAGGCAGAATAATTTATTGTAAAAGTGTTGGTTTAGTACTTTAATTTGCAAGCTGAAAATCCCTTTTGAATGCTGCGATTTGCTGAAGAGTGAAGGTAGCATAATCCAAATTTGAGCTATACTCCGGCATATTACTTTATGGCAGTAAGGAATTAGGATTGTATTCTGGTTGGTATTGACCAGAAAACCAGAGTTTATGCCGCATAAAATAAGGCATTTCATGTAGACAAAGTGGTAAAGAGGGGAAGAATTCCTGGTGTTTTTGCTGACAAGACAAACTTGTGAGCGAATATTTTAGCATAGATCTTTCAGATTTAGTGGCTTCCTCCAGAATAGTGCTCATTTTGTTTAATACTATTGTCTGTTAGATTTCGATTCTATGATTTTCAGTGTTAATATGTGGATGCTTTTTTCCCTGCTTTGCATCTCTAGATATGTATTTTATCCCTAGATGGATAAGTAAGAGAAACTGCTTTAATTTTTACCAGAACTTGTTGCAATCTTAAAGGCAGTATATTCTTTGTTATTAATGGTTTGCCTGTTGGTTGGACCTTGAAACAGTTGAAGAGCAAAAGTGATGCTGAGAGAACAGAAGCTAAGCTGCTTGAAAGATTTGATTATGCATGGAACAAAGTTAATAATGGTGTGCGACGTCCTAATGACGTTCTAACGAAAATCGAGAAGATTTCAATCCGAAACAATAAAATCCCTAAGATTCTGAAGATGCTACAATCTTTCAGTGAGCGAAAAGTAGGCATCCAAATCAAAGCAGAGAAGTTTTCACTTGGCAACAAACCAAGTCATGATATTTATGAAGAGAATTTCAACCTCTTTGATCGAGTTTTCAAATTTTCTCGTTCACAACCACGATTAGTTTCTACTAATCCTGAGGCCATTGTTGAGGACATCAATAAAATTCACATTTGTGGAGTGATTTCAAATGATGGAACAATTTGTAGTAATTCACCATTTAAAGGAAGAAAACGTTGTTCCGAGCACAAAGGAAGAAGATTGACTAGTGTATCAATCAACTCAAAAATCATGACAAAGGATTCAAGCACTGATAACTCTCAGGTAGAAAATTTTGTTAATGACGAGTTTTCTTCTATTTGTGGTGTAATTTTACTTGATAGTTCTCCATGTACAAAGTCACCCTTTCCTGGTAGGAAAAGATGTGAGGAGCATAAAGGTATGAGAATTAACCAAATAATGTCCAAGTCTCTGATATTTAAGTCTGTTATCGAAAAGCCTCTATCTGATCCCGACCCTGCAGACTGTTGTGGAGTGAATTTGGGTGATGGAAAATGCTGTGAAAGGCAGCCAGTGAAAGGAAGAAAGAGGCATGAGCAGCATAAAGGGATGCACGTTAATGCATGTGTCTAAGTCATCATCAAGAGTGGAATGAGCAAATGCTGGGCTAATGGGCTCTGGGCACTGGTCCGAGTGCTTTCGTCATCAGCAGGTCTGTACATGATTAATCTGCTACTCACTTATGGTGGCCCTGGGCACTGGTTCGAGTGCTTTCGATCATCAGCAGATAGTTCTTACTGCAGAAGGAGGACTGTCACAGGCTCAAAATAAGCACAAGTGTTTGATGACTTAATTTATTGTGTCCTCATTAAAATGATAGCTATTTTTAATATTTATTTTAAACAAATAGACACACAAAATACAGTCTGTTTAGAACACAGAAGAGAAAATGAAAAAAACAATGTAGAACAAGGTGTGTATTTTTCTTTAATTATTTTTCAATAGGAATAGGTTTGTATCTTAGAGTTTAGCCATACTTTAAAGAAACACCAGAAAAGTTTAGGATGTATTTTTATACTCTGTACTGTAAGTTACTGGTCAGAAGTGAGAAATAATAATTGATACCTCTTTACTGGAAGTTTTAATTGTTGTCGATTCTCAAGAACACCATGATTTTTGTCTTTGGTGTTGCTATTAAAATCTGATGCATGATACTTCTCAGTAATTCATATCCTAAAATAGAATAAGCGCCATAAATGTAAAATTTGAGCTTTAATGAATTTTAAATGAACATGAACAAGTTGTCTATGGTACTAAATGAGTCAAGTAATAAGTGTTACTAAATGAGCTTGAAAGTTTTTTCAAGCTCATTTGTTTATTAGTGAGTGACTTTTGATATGATCGACCTGATTTTGTTTATGTGCACAAAGACTTATTGACATCTCTATTAGTGAACACATTTATCTCTTGTTAGTCTGCCACATGGTCAACATTATACCATGTAATAATACCAATGTATCTAAACAAGTTTCGCTTTCCTACTTAAAAGTCAAAAAAAGATTTAGATTCCAGTCATTCCATTAATCTCCATAAACTTTATGTCATTTTTTTAAAATTTTTTATTGCTAATTACTACTACTACCTATCAAACTTGTTCTTCTTGTAAACTACTACTTGCCTTTTGTCGTTGTGTGTTTATTTATTTATTTTTAACTATTGCTACTAATCTAATATAGTGTAATCTATGGCGAATTAATGGCCTGGTATACTTATATTCCATTTTAGTCACTTGAGACAAGAAATAAATTGAATTTGTCAGCTCCTAAAAATTTATGTCAAATTGTATGCTGTTAATTGATGATTTACATGAGTATTTACATGCTTTAAATAGCATAAAACTTGCCTTATAGACTACATAGTTCATATATTTTCTTAAAAGTCAAGTATATCTTCATGATTTTGAGGTCATATGATCACGATATACATCTTTTGAGTTCGTGTAATTTGTGAATTTATCTAACTCATCGGCCACAAAAATCTGTGTATTTGTCATTAATCAATCTTTTTTGCGTCTGTTATAAGAACATTTAAGGAACGAAGCTACATAGTTTAAGGTTGGACTAGTGAGGGTCAAATTACGTACTTATCAACTAGGCTACATTTTTATTTTATATTTTTTCTTAAAAAGGAATCAACTTGGCTATTTGATTTATTCCAATAATAATATAATATACTTTATTGCTTACATATGCCTTCGATCATGTCTAAAAAAATAAATTCTTTGTTATAATCTCTAAGATTTTGCATATGTACCTCTGGATACTTCTTCCAAATTCAGGGATAATGGTATGTGACTAGGTGACGACTACGAAGCTCTGTAATTAGTTTCTTTTCATAACAATGACTTTTATCTTTCCCTGATATATGATTAATTATATAGGAAAGAAGTTCCACTCTTTCATTATGCACTAACATCAATATTTTTAGGTCGGTTTTTTTTTTTTTACTTGGAAACACTTTAATTTACACACTATTAATATGTACGGAGTGCTACTTTACGTGGTCTTTAAAATACAACTTTGACCATTAATGTCTCTAGTTTTTTATTAGTATATAATTTACGAAAAATCGATATTATAAAATTACAAATTGTAATTAATCTAACAACTTCTCATATGATAATTTATTTCTTATACATTAATTACAAAATTCGGTAAAAGTTTTATAAATCTGGCCACATAAATAGTACTCCGTAAATAGGAAGATTAAAAATGAACGCAAGGAGTAATGAAAAGAGGATAGAATTGATAATTATAAATACTATTTAGCTGGTGAAATTTTTTAAGGTAAGATAAACAAGAAAGTGACTGAAAATGTATATGATTGGTACGTTACAATAAAAAAGATAGAATGAACTACAATAAGTCTATTTACAACATGAAAACTATAGTGTTTAGGTCAGATGATGTCCCGAGTTATTGCATTAATTTTATGATAAAAATTCTTATTAATATTTAATTTTGATTGAATGACATGTAATATGGTAATAGTTTAGCGGTTAACACGTTAGAATTTAAACTTAAGGTTGTGGGCTCAAATTTTGTAAATTAAATATATATAATTTTAAACATATAGAATGGAAAACCTGATTAAAAGACAGAACGCCACGTGGCTTAAATATATGGAGTTCTAATGAATAGTATATAGATATAAATAGATACATCATACATACTCCCTTCATTCTTGTAAACTCGACTCACTTTATATTTGCGTGATTTTCAATTGAATCTTTGATTATTAATATTTCCAACTACGTGAAAGTTGGAAAAATTTATATTTGAAAATTTACACTAAAACAATGGAGAGGTTATTTATATTTGAAAATTTACACTAAAACCAATCTAATAAGATCACAATTATTATTTTATTTTATTTTATTATTTATTTTTTTTTTGTTTTTTTTGTATAAATTATATAGTGTAGCCAAAATTATTTTAATTTGATCACACGCGTGCATATGTGAGTCAAACTTTCAGTTTCGGAGGTAGTATAACAAAAAGTAATAAAGTTTGTTAGTTAATTGGAAACTGCAATAATATTCCCTTATTATTTTTGGTGACGGTTTTTGATAGCTTCTCCAATCTTTCAAGATACTAGGCGACTAATGTGCGTGATACGCGCCATAGCTAGCCATACTCGGGAAGTTTTTGGTTTGGCCTTATGTTACACTTTAGTTGTTGCCAGCTTTAATAAAGGAAAATACGTATGTAAACAAATATTTATAGTGTATAATTTTTCGCACACTTTTCTTAAGAGTTAAAAAAAAAAAAAAAAAGAACATTAATGAGGGCAACTAAGTAAATAATAACCATATGAAGGGGCATAATTGTCTCAACAATATTCATTAAAATAGAACAAATATATTTAAGGGTAAGTATGTAAATCAATATTTCAAAGGGCATAATTGTATGAACACTATTCATATATATGTAAGATGTAGCAAATATAATATAAAGGTAAATATGTAAATAAACATTTTAAGGAGCATAATCATCTCAACTAATAATAAGTGTTTAGTCATACTTTTAAAATGATAGGGATAATGTATCTACATACTGTTTGCTGCAAGGTTCATTTTGTCATGTGCTACTGTACGTGCATGGTTTTACAAATGAAGGGACTTAATTCTATTAGGTTCTTGCCTATGATACTCCGCATCCATTTTCAAAAGAGTTGATTTAATTACAGTGTTGTATACAGGATATCAAATGTATGGGTTCGAAATCATTAAAGGTCCTTTTTTTTTTTTTTTTTTTTTTTTTTTTAATTGCAACGTTGGTGATTTAATGCTTGTTATGAAAGTATTTTTCAAGACGAATGTAACACGATTCCACTTGATTATATAAATTTTTCTAATATATGAATCACAAAAAACAATCAAAGGAGTGTGTAAATATCGTAAAATTACAAACATTGCAATTAAAAAAGAACATAGGAAGTATAAATTAAAATTTTAATACATACATTCGAATTTCGAAAACTTAATACAATGGAATATAGTTAAAAAAAAAAAGGGAAATTCTCTTTGATAACACTATATTTTTAAATTTTCTTAGTGGTATTGTAAAAAAAATTATTATCCTTGGTACTCTCTAATTACCTATAATAATCAAATGGTAACATTAATGATGTTTATATGCAATTATAAGCTTAACCGGTTAAATTTATAATAATTAAAAAAAAAAAAAAAAAACCTACTCCCCACCACAGCCCAGCCACCCTTGCCTCTACCCCTCCACCGCTGGCTCCCGGCCACCATTCCCTGCCGGTGCCCAAACTTTCCCCCGCTGCCTCAAATCTGATTGCCGACACCAAAATTGAGTAATAAGTTGAAACATCGCAACTTCTAAGCATCAAATGCTTCCCCGAAATCGTGTTAATCAAGTATAAACAGCAATGTCGATGTTTCAACTTATTGCATCAAAAGTTTAATAAAACTGCATTTATCAAGCATACATTGCAACACCAACACCACAATTCATCAAAATGAAAGTTTCGGTGCTTCAATTTGCCGAATAATTCAACAAAAATGCGCTAATCAAGCAAGACTTCAAGCACTGACAAAACAAATTTTCATGAATCTGAGAAACTTAAGGTAATTAACAAAGAGTGTCGCAAATTTGCAATTGAAAAGACTGTAAGAATTGAGAAAGGTGCAAGCTTTGCAAACAGAGGGTAATGAAGAATAGGAGAGAGAAAATGGGGTTTGGCAGATTGATTTTTGGGAAGATGGGTTGAGATAAGTGCATTTAGAGGATGGTGGTTTGGGAGGAGGACGGAAGGGGAGACGGCAGGGGTAGGGGGAGCTCCGGAGGGCCGGCGAGGGAGGAGGCTGGGCAAGGACGCCGGCGGGGAGGGGGAGCTGGGCTGGTGGAGGAGGGGGGTGTCGGGGTTGGTGGAGAGAGGAGGTACGGTGGTTTTTTTTTTTAAATTATTTTTAAAATTATTATATTGTTAAATTAAAAAAAAAAAGTTGTTAAATATCGCCCTCGAATATCTAACTAACGCCCACACAAAATTACGTACTTATCTTTATAATAACGATTATTAAAATAATTAATTTTACCTTAATTTCACACTTTTACCATACAAATTTTTTTTAACCTTTCTCTCCAGTGGTCAACGGCCACCAATGCTCATCGGACCAACCACCGTGATTTTCAAAATCAAACAAAATTTTTAAATTTTGCAAAGTCAAATATATTGGATCTTATGGACGACGACGAAATACCGGAAACACAACCTATGATGCTCGCCGAATGCTCGTCGGACCGTATGAACTCAGTGTGTGCTGATAAAATATTTTTAAAATTCGAAATCCAGGCAAACGCTTAGGATTTTCGAAAACCCTAGGGTGAAACGCCTAGTTTTTTCGAAACTTCCTATCCTAGGCGTTTGCCTGGGTTTCGATTTTTTTTATTGTTGTGGTTGTTCGTATTTTCTAAGCGTTTCATCTCAACCGCCCAGATCTTTCGTACAACCATACGGTTGTTCGAACGAACTAGGCGTTTGAGCCTAGATTGTTCAAAAAAACATGGTGTTTGAACCCGATTTCAGAAAATAAATTAAAAAAAAACC